GGCCCAAAAGTTCAAAATAAAAGATGTATTCATATATGCCGCCCAAAAATAAATGCTGAAATATAAATGAAATTGTAAAAAAAATATTATGGTTTAGAAGAAATGGTTTTTTTTATAGGTGTCGTAATGAATAATCTATTAACAGAAATGTATGTCATCTTTGTTTCACTCCCAAATACGATGATTTGGGGAGGTGAACAAAGAATGACATACATTTTCGTATATCCTCATCCCTGTGGCAATTCTAGACCTCTTTTTATTAGTGTACTGTTCATTATTGAAATGTGTTCGTAACAACTGGGTCAATAAGAAGGTGGAGAAAATGTATGTTTCCCATCATTTAATGAATATAACAACCTCGTTGAAAACAGCATCATGGAATGCACTTAAAAAATGCATAACTTGATTACTCCTTGGAAAATAGGTTTTATTATCATTAACATAAATCCCTCTCCTCACCTAAAGTGTATCTTGAGAACAAAATGTTAACTGTGTTACAGTTTTCAGTGATTATGTAAAGAATGGCCTTTAGAATGGTAAACAAAATATTGCACATTTTCAGAACATCTGATTTTATTAAAATATTTAATATGGTGGAATATAGTAACGTTAAATCGCCTACAAAGACATGCGTTTAAACAATGTATATCAAAACCCGCTAACAAATTCGGGAAAATGATGAGAAAAAAATTTTACATATTTTTTAGATTGGTAGAGCGTGGGAAAAATTCAATTGTGATACGGGCATCTAGTAAGAAAAATTCTGCATTAAATAAGTACCATCATTGTTGAAGACATCTATTGTACTATGAACTAAATCTTAATTACATAGTGCCGGCAAATTAGACGATAATTTGGAGTCTCGATGGTTTGTATAGGCAATTATCAGGAAGTCAGTATAATATAAGCATTAGACAGCTGTTCGTATGTAATTTTTGCGAAAAAAAATGTTAAGAGACAAAACAATTGACATGCATACTTTGATTACTCAAAAATCTAGATAGGGTAGACTTTATTGTCCAATGACGTGTTTTATATTGTCTTAGTTAATTATATTGTTATTAAAAAACTGTGTAGTGAATATGAATGCCTTTTCTTAAATTCAGCAAATCACGTATGTTGTTATTTCAATTACAAGCAATATCATATTAAATGAAGAACTATTTGAAGAAACAAACTGTGAATTGGACACTCTAACAACAAAATAATAAATATATCCTTGGTCTTCAACAAATATTGTTAAATAATACTGAAAGTGAAAAAAATGCACACATTTGCAATTTAAATGAAAAAGAAATTGCAGTAAAAGAAGAAAAGTATTCACATTACTGAGCTATTTCAGACTATGAAAATAAATGCATAGTGTATTCTTTTTTTTCTTTCTTTTTTTTTTTTTTTTTTCCTTTACAACTCATTCATCTCCTTATGTTTACTTATGAGCCACTCACTTCTAAATCAATTAACTTTACAAAATAGAATAGATGAAATATAAGTGTTTATTTTTTTTTTGTTCCCTTTACAACCTCATTCATCTCCTTTATGTTATACTTAGATGAGCCTTCCTTTCTAAATCAATTAACTTACAAAATAGAATAAGATGAATATCCTTGTTTATTTTTTTATTCAGTGGGAAAAAAAAATTGTTAAGTACTATTATTAATATTTATTTTGAATGTAAAATTGCAGTGGATTTTTTATTTTTTTAAAATTGTTCATAATGTAATTTACCCCATACATTATTTTAAATGTAAGACTTGAGTATTTTGATCTACAAACTGAATATTGATTCTTTGTAATGCATGAATATTGCATTTCTTTGAGAATTTAATAGTAAGAAATTCTTAAACCTAGAAAATTCTGTATATTTCGCCTTTGTTTTTTCCTCAAATTTATTCAAGTAATTTTTTCTGCTCATTTTTTAAATAATATGGGCAGTTTTCGGATAACCGGCTCTGGGACCTCGCTACGGCGGCCGGTGGCGAATTTCCGCCAAACCCGGCTCCACCCCGCCAACTTTCTGCTGACGTTTAGGTTACTGAGAATCCGGAGTATCGGGGGGATTAGGGAAAACTTCTGTGTGCTCATATTGAGGGTCACGACCATTTTTCTCGCTTCTGCGTGGTTAGATTGAGAAGTTTGTCTCCTACTTGATCGGAGCGTAGGTAATAAATAAGTGTTAAATGCGATATTAAAACCGATATTAATACTAAATAATAATGTTAAATGCGGAATAAAACGATAATTATAAATAATAATAATGTTAAATGCGAATTAAAACCGATAATTATAAAATATAATATATAATAATAATGGAATTAAACCGATAATTATAAATAAATAATAATGGTACATGCGAAATTAAACGATAATTATAAATAAATAAAAGGTTAATGCGAATTATAAAAAAAATGTTAAAGTTGAATTAAAAACGATAATATGGTAATTTTTTTGGCGACCAACTCTCCACAGCAACCCTTTTTTTTTTTCCCGCCGCCATTGTCTTCACGAAGTAAAGACATGTTTCTCTTTTTTATCTACTGAACACTTCTTCCAACAATCTACTAGCGAATTACACTTATGCTAGAAATTTATCTAAAAAACTGCTTAATCATGACAATATTCACTGCAATTGGGAAAAAGTGCACAATACCATACCCTTATGTGTTTTTCAAAACATACACATAACCATGTACAACGCCGACTTATTTTTACTTAAAAAAACATCCCAGAATTGCACAAAAATGGCATTGCGTACACTATTCACTATATCCATGTACACTGCTTTTTCTCATAAATTAGAAAAATTTCACGAAAATACATGACAATTTTCTCAATCTTAAAAACCCGGAAAAGAACTATATGAAATTACTGATCGCGAAAAAGATTTACCCTTTCCAAATATGAACATTTCCACATATAAAATAAAAAAATCCCAAAAACTTACCTCTAATCATCTATTACATTATACACGCACCACGAATTCATACCGCAACATTACAAATACTTAGTGTCAGATCTTAATTATTTCCATGCATGTTTACTTCACTGAAACGTATACCAAATTCCTACAAGCATAAAATTCACAAAATAACTATCATTTATTAAATAATTAAATTCAAAAACACTACTTAAAATAAATGAGCACATACTTAAATAAATAAAAATACCTTACAATCCTAATTACTTTAAACAAGTCATTGCAGACAATTTCCCAATAATACCAATTCCTTACTTCCACCTTACATTTAGAACAATGCATAAAAATAATATCCTCCAATAATTAAAATACTAACTTACCTCATCTCTTCAGAATCTGATTAGTGTCCGATAAACTTTCCTTGAGTTACGGCCATGGATCAAAAATTCACGAACACGGTTCACACAACACAGAAAAACCAAAAAAATTTCCATTTTTTTTCCCGATTTCCCCCTTCGATTAAAGAACCATAATCGTCCATTAATATCACATGCATATCCCTTGATCTCTTTCCCGCACACAAAATAATGCGTAATCGAACGGAGTACTGCTCACATTATTCCAGTCCCAGGTAGGACTTTTATCGCCTCCAAAATGTCACCAAACTACCAGTTACCATATTGTAAAGATCAACCGCTTTTTTTTGTAAATTTTGATACTCTTTAGATCATAATTGCTCTTTATTTCATAAATTACAGTTTCATATTTTTAATTTCATAATTTCTACATGCCATCCTACAAGATTTAAACTGATGATCTATAATCCGGAAAAACCAATAATCCAGAATCGCCAAAGTCCCGACGAGTCCGTATTAAAAACTTTTGACTGTACTACGTTTTTTAAATTTTCTATGGAGAAATTAAAAAATAATCTCTGCAAAAAATGTAGCAGTGGCACTTAAGTTTTGTTTAGATTTTTGGCATTAGTTAAAAGGTTGAATACTGCTTACATATATAATACTATATAACACTAACTATAACCAAATCTTAATTTTGCTTGAATTTAAGTAATTTGGTTTGTCCATTTTAATATTTTGAAGACATGGAGATTATGTGTTCAAATATCTAAAACATCTTCATGCTTCAAATATAAACCTCAATTGTATGACTTTTCATTCAGATTCACATTCATAGTTCAAGTGAAAAATTTTGATCAATTAACTCACAAAAATACATTTATCTTAAAAATATATTTATAGTTCTAAACATATTTAGATTATATACAAAGCAACACATCAAGACGATCACAGTATTATGTAACTGGCTACATATATATTTATAAAGTAACGTTTCCTTCACATAAATTAAAATTTAGCAAAACATTAGGATTTCCAAAATGGTAGAACACACAGTCAAAATTTTTAACATTCTGTTTTAAGAATGATACTGAAATGAATGTCAATTATAACAGTTTGTATGCTTTATAGAGAGTCTTAAACTTACGCTACTAATTTCCTCTTGGAATGCGGTACTGACTCTGACATTCCAGCAGGAATGTAAATGACTTTTTTCTTATCCTGACCTACATTATCAAATGTATCAGTTTCTTGAAAAGCTGAACGTAAACAAGACCACATATCCTCAGAATTAACAGATTTCATTTTAAAGCTTGAAGCAGAGTTTGTATCCAGAATTTCTTTGGCTAGGTGATCATCCCCACAGTCATTTACTACCACACGATTACTTTTATCACATATTATTTCAAGCGTATCCCTCCTAAAGGTACTCGTATTTGCTGATTTAAACTTATTTACACGAATACTGTTGCTCTTGTCTTCAGGAACTTTCTTTTCAACATCCTTAGCAGTAGGTCCTTTAGTTGCAATACCAAGCTTCTCTGAATATCCAGCATCAAAATTTGAATGACCATTTGCTATTTGTGATCCTTTAGATTTATGCAAATCTTCATTACTGAATTTCTTTGGATGTGCAGCATTCAAATTCAAATTACAATTTTTAATTTGAGATCTTGCAGAATGCTTCTCGAAATCTTCAGAATTGCTTGCTTATTAGTTGTTTTTTTTTATGGTTTCCATTTATCCATTAAATTCATTGCCTTCTTCAACGGATCTTTCAATTTCCTATATGGTGGTCCTGAAGACACAGTACTTGGTATATCAACAAATTCTTTGAAACAAACTGTTTGCAAACCATCTATAAGTAAAGATGGGGGCACCATTTCTGGAACAGAGGGTTCTAACAAAAGTTCTTGCTCTGATGCACCCTGAAGTACATGCAAGTATACATCAACTGCTCTCCGAAAAGGATTCAGCAGCAAATCTAACAATTTATCTCTCAATAATCTTAGATATATTGAATTTTTTATAAGCAAATCTCTGAAATCATTGCTTATAGGACGTAAGCTAAAAAATAGCAACTTTGATTCATATGTGTAAAACTTCTTCGAAACATACAGAAATTCTTGAGGAACATTCAAATGTTGAAATAGGCAAGTATTTATTGGATTAACATATTTCAAAATTCCTTTTTCCTTATTCCTTTGCATGCTTATAATATAATCTGCCACTTGTGTATCAAAAACATTCACTAGTTTCGTATTATACTGGTGAAATAAACAATCTGAAGCTTGACGGCAATCATGAACAACTTTTTCTACGTTTTTATTTTCAAACACTTCTCTTAAACCACAATCAAAAGCTGCCTTTTGCAGAGACTGGATGTCAAATAAGAAAGTGCAAGCAGCACTTGATATACACACCCAACTAAGAATACCATCACGACTGATATTTGGTCCTTCAAATGATACACCAACTACAGTCTGCTTTATTAAATGTTGAATAGCAAGGTGAAATTCCTCGTCAACGCCTTGCAGAATAACAGAATCCAATGGCAGTACCTCACAAAATTTTGTTGGTAAAATCAGCACATAATCTTCCTCAAATGCATCTTCCATGCACACACTTTCTTCTTCATAATTTTCTTCCGCTTCATACACATCACCGAAACAAAATGAATCGTTATTTACAGGTCGCGAATATGAATTCTGAACGGCCGCACTCTTTGCAGCAATTTCTTTATCACTAGGCCGACTTACTACTGTATAAGAATTGATTTCACGAGCACGAAAAATTAACATACCCAAAAATGTGTTGGTAGGCAGAAAGGTTAATTTACTTACAGTTATCCTTGTTGTATCAGGACATACACTTTTCACAATGCCTTGGTAATCACCTTCGTACGTATCAAATCTTATAGTGCAGCCTACAAGATCCAACATGTCTGTTAGAATTTCCATGGCGAAATTATTCAGGATACAGCTACAGCACCAACCGTAATTTTTCTAGAAGTCTAAAAATAAAAATTAATACAAAGCACCCTTCGTAATAAACACGTGCAAAAGCGTAGAATGGAAATAACTATATCCCACGTTTATTCAAGCAACACGTGCTATTCTTTAGCACAAGCATAAAATCGAAGTTATAATACCACACTCGCAATCAAACACGGACTTGCTTTGATAATAAACACAATGACGTTAGAACGCGAAAAGATGTTGCCACACGTTTCATGAAAATATTTCTCTATTTACATTGCCAGATGTCTGACTCAATTTCACAGAAGAAATAATATTAATGTACACATATTTTTATACCATTTCTAATCAAGGTTTACAAGTTTTTCTCTCAGAGGAATAAACCATTAAAAATAAAATAAACACTTAATCAAACAAATAGCTATAGAAACAATATTTCTTCAAAGATTTCATGTCCAAGCAGCACAAACTCAAACCTATTCCCGATTCCAGCGTTCTGATGATCCATCTAGTGGCTAGAAAATGGAAACATAGAAAACGGTATCCTGTCTGATAACTTATTCTACGTACTTTATGAAGCACACTGTGATCGAAAGGTAATTAAACATTTATTTTTGATTGTTGTGGGCATTATGCATAATTTAAAAAGAAGTACAGATACATGTTTGTTGTGTACCACAGTGTAATTCACGAATGGCGCCCAGGCACCCTGGCGGTTAAGCACTGCAGTTCATTGTAGAATTATGTTTCCATCATATCGCAGTGGCTAATCGCACCGACGGTGCGAATAGCTAAGAGGCTATTCACACCGCCTACGCTCCCGCATGCGCACAATCAGCCCAGGTACCAGCATTTTACCGCGATTTTCATGAGGCACACGCAAGATTCTTTCTCACGGATCCGCACGGATCTTGTGCGCACGGAGTATAAAGTCTTCCCATTATACTCCGGGGGCAGGCGGTAGCGAGAGCGAAGGTTGTTAGCAATAGAAAGGGTTGTTAATAGTTTATCAGCAAGAGAATAATTTGCAAGTAATAATTATTAGTTAAAAAGACGAGGCCAATCTATTTACATGATAATGTTCAGGAAATAATTAGATAAAATAGGGATTTAATGATGGTTCTAATTGCAAGCGAGAACGTGTAATTAGTTAAAAAATCTTTAAATCTTTAATCTTTAACGACAGAAAGGCTACAGAGATTACTTCAATTATTTTATTTAACAGAGGAATTTTTATGATTAATTATTCATTTAATAGTTGATTTAATTGCTTTTAACTTATTTCATGTCTAAATTTTCTAAACGAAAATCCTCTGTCTTTTTTTACTATCTTTTCTCGGACGAACATTTTCAGAGAGGAATGAATTAAAGTCTTGATTGCGCAAAACACATCTTTGAAGCTAAATGTATTCTAAGAAATACAAAAAATGTAAAGAAGATTTTTTCCCCTCTACCCAAATAAGTCATTTAAGCTATTCCAACCGTTCAGGAAAACGATAAACATTGCGAACATAAAAATCTGCAATTTTTTATATATACTTTAATAAAAGGAAATGTGTTCCTTCTTTTTATAAAAAAAGGAACCCATTTTCCTTTCTAAACTTTTGAAAGTCGCCAACGCTTAAAAAATGATAAACTACGCCAAGGTAGCAACCCGCCTTTAAAAAAAAAAAAAAAAAAAGATTCACTACAACATTTAGGCAGTTCGTGTACGTAGAATCCGTTCTTTTCGATTGAGTTCAAATGACGGCATGCGTGGTTAATGTTGGTACGAATTTGCACCAGCGGCTAATCGCAACAGACGCTTAGCCCTTCAGATGCTACTTTCCTCCTGATTCCTCCCTGATCATTTGCGCAGATTCTCGCGCAGCATGTTTACCCCAGGAGGCTCGGCGTGCTCAAAGCCGATTTTTTTAAAACACCACGCTATTATGTTACGAACATGGTGCGCATTACAGAGTGTAAATTAATTTCTTTTATTAGTTTTTCTGGAATAGTTTTCTTTTTAAATTGGGATACATATTTATTTGTTCAGATGTTTTATTATAAATCTATGCATAACGGAAGAATTCCTGATCTATTCATTTATTCATCTACAGATCATCACCCAGAAGCTATTAGAGATACAGATATCAAAACTTAGGAGCATATTCCTTTTGTACCGAAGGTGTCATTTAAGAAGCGATTTTTTAAGATTCAGCGGACAAAACGTGTTTTTATATTTTTACTTCCTTGTACGAAGTAAAAAGGAAGTATTGTAATCGCGAAAAGTTTCAGGCAGCATATTTCAACGAAAATATCCATTTTAACCGCAATCGAATGCAATTTAACGATATTTTTGCGTAATATCTGTACGTAAGGACAGAATAAAATACTCTTTTCCTTCAAAAAAATTATAAAACTGAAAACTGCTTTAAAATTAAGTCTGAAGAGAATTTTTCGTGGCGTCTGTACGAAACGTATGTACGTGCGTGCGTACTACGACGTATCTCGCAAACTCAAAACGAGTAGCCTCAGAACGTTGAAACTTTTTATATAGGACTGCTATACATGTGGAGTTGGCCCTCGTATTTGGATGCAATCGACCGCACCAACGTATATAAATATATTTATATATAATCCACTCTGTACCCGGCTCAGTGATCTCATTTTCTTTACTCTTAATGTTGTAACTTGTACGTTTTCTGCTTTAAAAATGATTGTATTATGTTGTTTTTATCTTCCGGTTAAGGATTTTATGCCTTTAGTAAATCTGTACGAAATATTTTTAGAATTATCAACAATTTTAAAGTTGTCTAAGTGCCGCTAAGCCTTTTTTTTATGGCGACCATTGATGTTTACATTTGAAACAGGAGACTAGTGGATTTGTTGCCAATCTAGAGAAACTTAGCTCCACAACAACAAAGATAACGCATTCATTTATTATTGCTAATTAAACCATGCTTAATCCTTTCTGGAATTTTTTCGAGGAAATAAGTGTTTAAGATTTACTTCGTAATTTTTAATATAGATATTTTGAGTTTTTATATAATTATTATATAGGTTAACTGTATATAATTATTAATACTGTTAAGTGAATCTAACGCCAGAGTGTCGCTTGGTAAACAAATACTAGAGTGAATTTAAGAATGCCATTTATTCTAATTGGTTTAAGCGCTGTCGGCGAAGTAGATTTAATTCAATCCTACAAGTTTAAACGAAATGTAAGAAAAAATGCGTATAATTTAATATTCCGTACAAGGAAGTCATGTGGTGTACACATCAGATTTTTTCATATAAGGAAGAAACAGATGTTTCACTGTTCAAAAAAAAAAAAAAAAAAAAAAAAAAAAAAAAAAAAAAAGGTGCAGTTCTATAAGTTCCCTTCTACTGAGTTGATTGACAACATTCAAATTGCGTTCTTCATGTCTCGAAAGCGCGACTTAGATATATACTAAATTTATATTAGCACTATTCTAACATAGGTATTTTGACACAAAATCGGACTTTTCTGAAATAACATACCAATTTTTTTACTATTTCGATTCTACAACTCAAATTACGCCTAAATATGAATTTTGTAAAATTTGGAGCGAAATTTACGGAGAAATTCAAATTATTGTTGGCATTTTTTTTTTCAGTTTGCGTCAAGAATATTTACTTGGCGAACTTCTTAATATATGGCAACCTAGTTTCCTTTCCCGTAAGAGGAAAAAAGTCACAAATCGTTATTTTTTTCCAAATAAATTATTCTTTATATTGTATTTTTAATTATACTTATTATTTTAAGTATTTTTTTCTTTTTCGAATTTCATTTTAATTGTTTAAGTTGCATGGTTTTTTTTTTTTTTTCGAATAACTGTTTTAAAAATTTCTATTACCTATTCGAACTGCGTAAATAACGTGCAGCGTTTATTTTTATTTTTTTTAAATGGTTTTCTTTATATATATTTTTGGTCATAGTTTTTTTAAGTAATTTTAAATTTTACACTTTTATTTTAATTGTTTGTGTTGCATTGTCTCTTCAGATAATTGTTTTAAAATTTTCTACTTATTCCTTCGAACTGAGCATTTTAAATATTTATTAATATAAATTTTCCAGAATTGATTTTATTTATTTGAATTGCGTTTCTTTCGAAGAATATTTGTATTTCATACTACGATGCGTTTGAAAACTGCATATATTAAAAGAGAAAATCAGTACAAGCACAGTTAACACGCCTTTCAATGTTCCGTTCAGAAAAGATATATATAAATAAGAGAAATTTATAACCGTCATTTTAACTTAGGATGATTTGCATACACTGCTTTAAACAGTTTTATCATTGTGCCCATTGCTTTACACAATTTTATCCTACATTTGGTTTCTTAAAATGTTATTCATATTTTAGTCAAATATTTTATTTTTGAAATCGCAAGAATCAAATATCATAAGATTAAAAAAATTTAAATTAAAAAAAAATGCAAATACTATCTTTTACGCAAAAATTTATTTTTTCTTCTCATTTTCTTCAGGCATTCTACTTTATTCTTGCTCTTTTTCTTTAGGCATTCTGCAAGTACTATATTAAAAAGCATCCAACTTTTCGAAATATCTTGGTATTTCTGACAATCATTTTAAATAAAGTTATCGCCTTCCATTTCATAAAGACCCACAAAAGGCCGAGCGGTAAAGTCGCTGATCACTGGTAGTTCACTCCGGGGTTCCAATCCTGATAAACGGGCTGGTTGCACGGGTGTTTTCGTGGATTTTCTCATGTGTACCGCGTATGCCACCTGGTTTTCCTTAGAAAGTTCTTCACGAAGGCATCCTTTCTTTTAGGCAAATAACCCAGCTTTGCCGTAAATTAATAATCCATTTCAATCCATTTCACCAGTATTTGGTCAGAGCCTTTATAGGTCTTTAGAGGCTAAACATTTTGAAGGTATGAGATGAAAGGAAAGACTGGTTTCATCAAGATGTTTTGGTTTATTTAATTATGACAAAGCGCACTAGGGCTATCTGCCTAAGGGGAGGGACGCCTTCGTGGAGGACTTTCTAAGGGGAACTGCCTCGCATACACGTTACACATGGGAAAAACCACGAAAACGCCCATGCAGCCAGCCCTTTGGCGGGATTCGAACCTCGGACCGAACTACCAGTGTTCAGCGACTTTA